AAAGAATGAAAGAAAATATCGATTACACAATTTACTCATGATTAAGACATCTACATAAGTAATTTGAACAGGATCACATTATTTTTATCAAAAATGCTATAACCAACTTGACGAAACAATAGAATCAGTATTGTAAATTCATACACACACATGCATTTCACAAAACTTATGCAAAAGAAAACTAAGACTTATTCTGTATAATGTTCGTTTTTGTTCATACTTTTTTATTAGCTCGAATACTCTTCAAAATATCAGGTTGAGGTAACAGATATTCATAAAAATGTCCACAAGTATAAACAGAACTCATTCCGATTTTCAATTCTGCAACAACTAAATTAGTACCCATACGTTTATGATTAGTTTTATGATATCTGTGATGAAACAAAAAAAGCTCAGAAACGAAAATATTCTTAATTAACACTATAGTAAACGAACAGAGAAAGTTAGTTCATCGTGATAGAAAGCTGGATCTTAATTGTCTGTAAAACAACATAGTTTTATTGGAGGATATGCTTTCAAATCACTGCAGTGTGGTTTGTTGAGTTCATGACGCTTCACTACCCGATAACTATGGTGAAATAGATCGCTATATATGTGTGGTGTCGTGTCATGGTTAAACTATTCTAGAATGTCCTAAGAACTTGAATTCCCAAATAAGACTTCGAAAACCGGAGGAAAATTAGGAAATCTGAAGGTAATCGGAAAAATATGTTAAAATCGGAAAAATCGGAACGTCGGAAAGTCGTTGGAGAAACTTTCAAAAAATCGCAATTTTTCCTGCCGTATCGGAAGATCTGGCAACCCTGAGTGGAGTGTCTGTAATGGAATGGGGGAAGGGAGAGAGCCGCCAAACCTCGAACTTAAAACTTACAACCACTATTTTATTCGAAAATATACGTGAGTTCCACAAAACGAGTGACTGTATTATAATTGCCTTTCATTTTCATATATTTATTTTTTTCTATTTCGGAACGATGTTTATGCATTTAAAATATGCCTCTTCATCTCATGAAATGAAATAGCCATTATGAGAATTTAATGAAAAATTTGTCAATAAATAGTTTTTTAAAACATATTTTTGACGGGGCGGGGCGGGGCGGTGGCGGTTTCAATGCTAAACAGGCGGGGCGGTGTCGGTGCGGAACTTTATCGGCGGTGCGGGACGGGGCGGTGACGGTGCGACTTTTTTGCTGACTCGCTCATCTCTGGTCTTGATTACATTTTCCATACTTTATATTTGTTATAAAAGCAAAATATGCTTGCAACATTTTAATCTACACATTGTTTTCTAGATACTTCTGAACTTTAAAAAAACCAGAAAGATTGATAATAAGTTCATGTCTCAAATGCCTCAGCTTCACTACGAAACGCTATATCTGAAAACATCAATGAGCAGTCGTGATCTGCTTGATTTTCTCCAACTTTTAGATTGGAAGCAGCAACGAAAGTTCTCTTGTTCTTCATATTCTTGTATATCTATTCTGTTTTTAAATGAGATTAAATTAACGAAGAAACATAAAAGGAAGACAAAGGAAATTTAGTCATTTCTATAGTATTCAATTGTTTTTATGTTGGATTGAGAAAGCATTAACTAACTAACTTTTCATAATCAATAGTAATATCTCTCGCACAGTAGATAGTAATTACGAAGCACTCAATTTAACATCAAATATGCTAATATTGGCAGCTTTTTGGATAACTTTCCTTTTTGGTGAAAATAATAGATGCTTTTGATGAACTTTGATAGGGTCTGTATCAAAGCGAGATGATTATAGATAGCAAATAAAACATGCAACTATCCAAAGAGCATTTCATTTATGAAACAAAAATTTTATCTCAGCCTGACGGCGTCAGAGTTCTTAGCGACCTTTCCTGGTTTCTACAAAGGTAGGCAGTCCAGCGATAAAATTGGTTTTCAAAACTTGAGCCTATACGATAGCTAGCATTGAAGCTATGTATAACAGATCATTTAAAATTTTTGAAGTTCATTAGGTTATAATAAAGTCGATAAATTAAACTGAGCATAGTAAAAAGATAAGCACTGTTCAATGATATAGTTATTTCTTCTAAGTTTGCTAAGACTTTAATTCAATTTCTAATTTGTTGTTCGGTAGAGGATGTCATCCTATATTTTTAGTAGATACACAAAGATGGATATCTCGAGGCTTGTTGGAAGATAATGTCTCAATTATAATCTTCTATGAAAATTTGTCGAGAATTCGAATGCAGTGATTATTATGTTCTAGTTCGTCAAGTTTCGAATAGATAAATAAACAATAAACGTACACTAACTGCAAGTTTTAAGTTGACTATTTCATTTTCAAATAGGTTTTCTGAGTCTCTTTCAGAAATTAAACGCAGGAAAATAATCATAGAGAGATTTCATTCTAGGACACGCATTTCAAGTACTAAATATCGCTCCTCATTATCTTTTTATGGTGATGAAGTCTTTATTAAATCTGTTTTTGAGTATAGATATGACATGCAAGTTTTATTTCATTTTGGTATCCAGATCATACTAATAAAATTCTCATGTGATATCTTTAGTCAATAATAAATTTGATGCAAAGTATGACAACACGACCAAGAGAAAGAGAAAGAAGACTTTTGTTCGAGCGTATAAAATGATTTATCTCATACTTTTGCATTTTTTTTATTCTTAAAAATACACGAAGTCGCACAAGTCTCTAAGTCACCCATACGAAAGATAATGTGAGTAAAAGTGAATAATTTTCGTAGCTAGAATTAACAAAGATTACAATATATACTATGAATATCGAGAACTTTAAGTTTTAAAAAGAACCTCAGAAAATGCAATATACTCAGAAACTCATTCTGATATCTTTCAGAATGTATTACAGAATAATTTCTAAGTTCATATAAGATTAATGAAAATTTGCTACATCATACCAAAGACAGTGTTAGAACTGGCCACGTAATATAAAATCACCAACAATAAATCTGAATATGAGCGTAAATGTGAGTGAACGTAGTTGTAGCTTATCTTCATTCACACCCATACTCTAATATCCAAAAATTTGTGAAATATACTTGAGTCCAACACATTTCGAATTGATTTGAAGAAAACAAGTATGAGCCGAACCAAACTCGAATCATTAGAACTCATTTTGATTCAATCGCTGCTATCAATACATCCTGTAGAATTTTTGCATTAGGTATTACTCTAAACTCATAATAAATGTAAGTAATTGCTCATTATGACTCATATAAACACTTTTATTTCGAACAAAAGAGTTTGTTCTAGTAACATTCTATTAGAGTTGAAAGGCGTACCTGTACTTATCAACTAAATTTCTATATCTATACAGTATTGTTGGAAAACGTAAAAATTTCTAGATAAGTATTAGGCTTCCTTCTTACCTGTGACAGCGCAGCATTCTTTCAAGTTACTTTATAGATACTCATTATTATAGTCTCTACTAAATACTCAGGCACACGAATTGTCTTTTACAAAAAACATTATAAAAGGCAGTATTTCATGCTCTATTTGAATTTATGGATTTTCTGTATCAATTCATGACTCTAATTAAACTAATTTTAAAGAAACAAAAGAAAAAAAAACGAGAGAATCCGAAAAACCTGATACTGTGGATGTCTTAAAGATGATCCAAAATTTTCTTAGTGAACGAGTGTAATTTAGATGGGAGATGTTGATATCGTGTTGCTGTATTCTTAGCCACATCTTACACACCGAAAGAGAACATGACCATGTCTATGTGGATGTATGGGCGTGTCCTCTCATTTGCGGACATAAAATCTAAATTGAAAATATGTTAAATTTAATTTACTGAAATTTAACATAAAATGAGGTCTAAAATTTTCAGTTTTTAAATTTAGAAAAGTTTATTGATATTAATTTTAAAACAAATTAAAGTTTTCATTATATTTTAAAATTTGTTGAAGTTTAGAGAGTTTGCTAAAGATTGAATTTCATTATTTTTATTCAACGATTTGCAATTTGTAGAGTGCGCTAAAATATAGTAGTGCTTTTTTTATTCTTAATTGACTGCAATACTGCATTTCATAGAGTTCGTCAGATACGAGTGTTACTATGAATGCCATCAGCTTATAGTTTAGTAATAATACGTTCATAATGAATACCGACCTCTAATTCGTATTCTGCACCCTCGATTACCTTCGGTCAATCTTTGGAAAAAATTAATACATAACAATCAATTAAAAATCAATAAATTATTAATTAATTAAAATTGTCCTGAGATTTGGATTCCTCATCCCAAATTCACTTCCGCCAAGTTTTTAAAAAATGTTAATCGTTATTATCAATTAATTAATAATTAATAATTAGCTAATTAATCCATTGAAACTGAGCTGGGATTCGAACTCCCACCCACGATTACCCTTTGGTTAAGTTTTATGGAAAATAATTCCTTTTATCTTCACCTTGCTTTTGGACCAATCACTAAAGTGCAGACATGCAAGCAAGCAAGCGAACCTTTTATTGTTGCAAGATCCTTCTCTAGGAGAAAGAGAAAAAGATGTTTCGAGCAAGACCGTTCACACATATAGATGTTAATGAGCGTCTTCTCTTGAAGAACACCATTTAATTCGTTCACATCACAATCTTAAAAAATATTAAATTATCACAGCAAGTGATGATACAGTCTTCTTAAAAATCCGCGTGGACTTAAATGAAGTCAAGCTTAGTTTACTCCTAATCCCTGACCCTTGCTAGTGCATTATCAGTATTAGCTTAGCAATAACAAAAGAAAAACCCGACTAGTACATTTTATTTTTCACTTCCATTTTAATTCTTTCGATCCAGATTCAAAGAAAGACTTTAGTTCAACTAAAATCTAGCGTTCTCTTGAAATAACAGGAGTACTGCTAAGTTTCAAAAGATTCTTCAATCCAAAACTTACATCCTCTACGAATTGCAGTAAATATCAAAGATTTTCTGCTATCAGAAACTTGCGCTCTCTACAAATTGCAGTATCTATATCTATCTGAATATTAAAAAGTTATTTATTGTTAAAAAAGTAACGATCTCCACAAATTGCGGTATACTCTAAAATAAATTAACTTTTATAAAAAATCTTTTAAAACAACTTACTTTCAATATTTGTTCGCAGTAATCAAATTTTCAAAAGTTAAATATAAATTTTAATCCTTTTATAAAAAAAATTAATAAAAGAACCAAATTTAAATCAAACGTAATTTCAAAAAATTTGATTTATATCAAATTTGTGCTCTTTATGATCGCAAATGAGAGGCAGCCATGTATGAGAGAATTGATAACACAACGAATTCTGCCACAACGATTAAACTTACTCGTCTCTGATTATATGATCTTCAGTTTTTTTTAATGACTCGTGCAAGCACATTCACATCCAGCTTGATAAACTGACATTTAAGAAACTTTGCCGAATGGGTGATGCAATCATCGCCAGGATGGTCGTCAAAAAGTAGTCTTCAATATGAGTTCCTTTTTTTCTGGAGTATGTGAGAAAAGGCACATTGTCAAGAGCAGTCACAGCCGCAGCTCTTTATTTGCTTATTTGTTTAACGGAACTGGAATGAAACGAAATGCTGTGTTTTTTCCCTTTCAATTACATTTGACGAAAGATCTCGAATATATATGTCAAAGACATTACTCATGTTCTATTTACTTTTAATTTCACGTTGCTGCTTCGATTTCTACATTGGGTTCTTTTCTGCGCTTGTTTTTAATGCCTCTTCGCAGCAGAATAACTTACTCTTATTCTTCAAAACAACTCTTTATTTTTTAAAAAATTTATTATTCCTACGGGAAATTTGTTTTCAAAAAGTAATGACAGATTTTTATGTAACTTGAAATTGTCTATCATCCTATATATTTGTTAACTCTGTTCGTAGTTATGTGCTGAAGAATAGTTCTAGCATTACGTAGACAAGCTATTTGACAAGTGATGAAAAGAGGTTACGTTTCACTATGTATTTCTTTTCTCGTCTAAAAAAGTGCATGATGGTTGAGAATTTCAATCTCTATCAGAGAATATAATTATTTTCTTCTTTTTATGAGCATACGCACTTCGTCTCACTGGTCTCAGAATAATAATGTACAAATATAAATGATACTTGGGTTGCTAGAAGTCATAGAACCTTCGTGAATTTCACTGATGGTTAAATTTCAACAACAGCTCGGTTAAAATCTCTGCTTGCGTCACTAATCATTCTATCAATGTTTTGGTTGTTCATTGAACTCGCAGGTTTGATGCCTTATCATACTAATTCTTTGTCTCTGTCATTCAATCTTGTAGCAAGTTTATTTTTTCTTTCGATAGTTTCTAGCTGAAGCAATGGTCACCAATTCATTTGAAGTTTCTTCTCATGAGACAAAAAGTCTCTTCAATAAATATGATTGATAGAAATACGGTGCGGTTCAGGGTCAAATTTACAATTGAATGTTATGATTAAGATGAATACTTTTTGAATACTGTAATTTATTCGAATCATTTATTTGAGGGTGTGGGTGTGGATGTGAGTGTCGGTGTGGATGTCGGTGGGTGTGGGTGTGAGTCGTGTTTTCACCCATAGCCACACCCACACCCACACCCAAAATTCACTTGAAAAATTATTTGTAATACGTTCATAACGCGTCATCGTAAATGGATATGAACAGACATAACATTCACCACTGTTTGAATCTGGAAAATAATCAACACAAGAAATAATTTTTTTATGTTTAAATTCTCTGAATGTATGTTGAATATATTCATTTGATGGTAAATCAATTTGATTAATAGAATCAATTGATGAACGAATATTAAACTCAAATGACTTTAATTGTGGTAAACGATATAAAATATTTGTTTTCAAATCATTTCCATCAACAAATGTTTTTTCATGAGAACAATTAAAATATAAATTGAGTTGTTCTAAATTCGACATGCGATGTAAAAGTGGTATAACTACTTTATCATAGAAATATATTTTTAAACCGCAGGACAACGAAAAATTTTTTAAATTTGATAGTTTTTCCTAAAACAAGGTTTTATAATTGGTTTTAATAAAATTAGGAATTTATAAAAACATACTTTATTTAATTTTAACATGGAATGTATGGATGATACTAATATATGAACATAGAAAGACCGAAGTTGATTGAAACGACCATCAAGTAAATAAAGACAATCGTCAATAGTCCTTACTTTGATATGCCATTCTAGCAAAGTTGAAGAGAGGATAGTTGGAAATGAGTTTTCGAATGATATTCCTTGATAACAAATCAAAGATGGATCAAAATTTAAATATTTTAAATTGTTGAATATAGTAAATATATTTGTAAATATTAGTGTATTCACATTATATGTTAAACCTTGTTTATTTTTGGTGCCAATTACAAGTGATAAAATCTGATTTTTAAATATATGAATTAAAGAATTTTGGTCTGAACATAAATAGATAAATTATTGTAAAAATAACTAAGTATTTTCAATATTGATCAAATAACAGGTTCAATTCTTTTGGTCATTTTTCTTACTAAGAACTTAAAATTTTTTTTCAAAATCATATTTCGTATGCAAACGAAAATTCTCTCTCTTCATTTCTGTATATTAATTTCTTTAATATCCATTTTGGTATAAATGGATGTATTGAAATCATCTTAATTTTCATTTATTTTAATATATTAATTGAAGGAATTTCAAGTAAAAATATCTTACCTGTAAAGAGACGCAACGTAGTTTCCTTTTCAATATTATATATACCAAGTCCAAATAAATTAGGATACTTTGCAGAAAGAAGAATACGTTTCATAGATGATGATTCAAGATTAAGCCATTTGATTTTATTATTAACTTTAGGTAAGATTTCCACACAATATCGATCAAGCATTGAATTAGATAATGAATAAATAGAATCATATAATAAATATTTCAATAATGTTAAATTAGTAGTAAAAATAGAATCATGTAAAATTTTATCTAATCGTTTATTGATACCCATTAAGGAATAGAGTACTTTGACATTATTTAATTTTTTGAAAATAATCAAAAGAACTTCATCAGGTAAATCGTTTAATTGAACACATGAATGTTCCATGTTTATATGTAAATATATCTATTTTTCATAGCTTATAAATGTCAATAATTATATATATCAGCTCATTCTATTTGACCGATACCATCAATGAAAACAATGATGTGTTTTTTTTTTCTATGGTCTAATTGCGTAAATGGGTGACCAACGATTGAATGAATGAATAGCATTGTTTCTCTTTTTTCATATATATGCTCAGTATTTTTAATGAATGAGTGTACCCAGCAAAACAATGGGTACGATACCCTAATAAAAAAATATTTACACACTGTTTTACACGTTGTTGAAAAAAGTAGTGTGTACGCTCTACACGCTTAGTTTTTTTTTACACTTTGATTTTTCAAGTATTTTCGTGCTTGTGCTGTATGTACAAAAATATAATTTATATATCCCTGAAAA